AGAGAGAGAGAAAGAACTTCATTCAAACAAAAGACCAACTAAAACTGCACTGAGGCTCAATAAAAATACAAAACCACTGGAGCTCCTGTACCAATGTCCAAATCCATATCCCATCGCTTGATCATCAGAACTGGCAGCCCGGAGTCATACTGGGTTGCTCTATTAGTGTGCCATTTTAAAAGAGATTGTGAAATGCTTTTAAAAATTAAAGTGAAGGCATCTGGATGGGGCGGCAGCTTTTATTCAGCATGGGTTCAGCACTGTCCCTTATTGACAAAGAGCTATGCTGCTTAACCTAAGCAACTTTAAGATGGATAGACTTCAAGTCCCAGAATTCCCCAGCCAGCCATGCTGGCTGGGGAATTCTGGGACTTCAAGTCCACCCATCTTAAAGTTGCCCAGGCTGAGGAACACAGCTATAAAGTCAGACTTGAGTGGAGCCATTTTCAACCATTTTCGACATTAGAGCTGTTGTACTCACCCAATTAAGGAGACCATCTGTTCCACTATGTGTTTGCTGAAGGTGATGATCACAAAAAGTTTCTGGAAGAACAACCACAAAGCACACACAAGAGTCAGACAAATGCTGAAAGGGGGACAAGGAAACAATGCGGGGTGCCTGTTCAGTTCCTTGATTGCTCTTGTGCTTGATGACGTTCCTTTTCCCAAGTTCACGTAATGATACCCCAATTCTTCAAATTTCTCCCCCCCCTCTCTTTTGGTCACATCCTTTTTCTAAGGGATGATTAATCTAATCATGATGAGTCTATTCTTTGGGCGGAGAAAGGAAGCGAAAGAAGGCCACGGATTCTGCTCCAACAATGCCTTAGACTTTGGATGGCCCTTCAGAGGTCACCCACCAGCGGTCCTACCGGCCAGCTGACTTTCTTTCCAACTAAGTGGAATCTAAAAATATGGCATCACATTCTACAGAAATAGTTTACTAACTAGATGACACATACTCCATTGGGCCATTGTTTCAGAAATACTTCCTTATTTAAACAGAGAAACAAGAATGGCCAAGGGTAAGCAAGACTTCTGATTTCCTGCTGGCTTCCCCATTGCGTTTTCCTTGTGCGAATCTGGAAGGAAGCATCAGAAATCTCCTTCCCTCCTTTGCTTCTTTTCTTCTCCCTCCTTCTCTAGCAGGCAGGTAAGTGGCTGCCACTGGGTGCCAAAAGAACAAGAGATTGTGAAACTGATGAGTAAACTGTCACAGAACACTGAAAATGAGTATTGCGTGACCACAGCAGCAACCCAGTAGCAGCCTGCAGCGAACACACCTGCCTCCTCCTGTTTCCTCCACAACAAGAAGCCTGGGAGGTGGGTTGGGCTGAGAGTGAGTAACCTTTCATGCCTGAAACACACGAAAGGGCTAGAACTCACTGTCTCCTGGTAGTTGGCCCAAAGTCACGCAGCTACTGTATTTCTCATGCCTAGGGCAGAACTAGAACTCACTGTCTCCTGGTGATAGGCCTAAAGACAGCCAGCCAGTTTTCATGCCTAAGGCAGAACTAGAACTCATTGTCTCCTGGTGATCGGCCCAAAGACACCCAGCCAGTTTTCATTCCTAAAGCAGAACTAGAACTCACTGTCTCCTGGTGATAGGCCTAAAGACACCCAGCCAGTTTTCATGCCTAAGGCAGAACTAGAACTCACTGTCTCCTGGTGATCGGCTCAAAGACACCCTGCCAGCTTTCATTCCTAAAGCAGAACTAGAACTCACTGTCTCCTGGTGATCGGCCCAAAGACACCCAGCCAGCTTTCATGCCTAAGGCAGAACTAGAACTCACAGTCTCCTGGTATCTGGCCCAAACTCATCCAGATGGCTTTCATGGCTAAGGCAGGGAAATGAACTCCTAGCCTCCTTACTTTAACCACTAGACCAAATTGCCTCTTAGTTAAATTAACCTCTATGTTACAAGAAAACCCCTACATGGTAAATTGAAATACAGGTAGTCCTTGACTTACCACCGCGACTGAGCCCAACATTTCTGTTGCTAAGTGAGACATTTGTTAACTGAGTTTTGTCCCATTTTGCGACCTTTCTTGCCACAGTTGTGAAGCGAATCACTGCAGTTGTTAAGTTAGGGGCATAGGTGAATCTGGCTTCCCCATTGGCCTTGCTTGTCAAAAGGTCACAAAAGGTGAACGCTTACTCCCCTGGGACACTGCAACCATCATAAATATGAGTCAGTTGCCAAGCACCTGAATTTTGATCACGTCACCATGGGAACGCTGCAATGGTCGTAAGCGTGAAAAACGATCAAAAGTGACTTGTCCAATGTCGTTGCAACTATGAATGATTACTAAATGAACTGATGTAAGTCGAGGACTACCTGCATGGTAAAAATTGAAATAACCCTCCTCTCCAACCTGGTTTCTCTCTGGGCTGTAACTTCCCCCAACAGTTTGCTAATTTGGGGGAAATTCTCAAAGTTGCAGTCTGACATATCTGGAGGGCTCCAGGTTGGAGAAAGGGTGCAATATATATAGCATTCCTCGAGGATAAGCAGACAGAAACGTTCAGCTTTGCTGAGATAACTCTTGGAAGACAAGCTGTTCTAAGAGTTGTTGCTGTTTTAAACTGTCATTTATTGTGATGTATACCACTTGCGGTACAGTGGGGGAAGGTTCCCAGACTAGTCAACATTGGTTAAATCGTGTATTTGTCATATAATTCCAAGGCTTTGTTTCCCATTTTTCAGCCAATCTGGAACTGCGTGTCTCTTTTTTTCAAGAACATTGTGCTATGGCGTCCCAAACGTTCACGCTCTGTATCTTTGCAAGCGTGTGTGTGTGTGTGTTTTGAGGATTTTGGCGAATTTAGCCAGCTGTAGGAGGTTCAAAAACCAAATCCCTCGCTCCTGGGGCCAAACAGAAAGCAGCTACTATAAAATCTCCCCTTTTATGTTACAATCACTTGGCTTTTTAGCGTGCACCCCAAAATCAAGTCCAGAGTGAATGGGGAGCTCATTTCCTAAACATGCATGTCCCCCTCCAACATCATAAAAAGACAGGCCATCCTAGACATACAATGGTTCATTTTAGTAACTGAAGTTACAACGGCACTGAAAAAAGTGACCTATGTTTTTCACACTTACGACCACTGCGACATCCCCATCGTGGTCATGTGATCAAACTCCAGACCCTTGCCAACTGGACTCATATTTATGATGGTTGCAGTGTCCAGGGGTCAGCTTATCCCTTTTGCAACCTTCTATGCTGGCTCAGGAATTCTGGGAATTGAAATCCACAGGTCATAAAAATTGGCTGGGTTGCCTACTCTGATCTTAGAAGTCATAGTAAGAGAGGGCAGGCTAAATGCCTCTTCCGAGATTAAAGCTGCGATGAGCCATGTGTAGAGAATCTAAAAATAAACATTTTCTTTCTTTCTTTCTTTTTTTCACCTTCTTTCAACCGCTTGCCGATTAAACAAATTCTTCCAGCCAGCAAAGTTTGGACAACGAATGGCTGAGATTTCTTTTTCGTCTGCTTACCCACAAAGTTAGCTCGCCTAAATTCTGAAGATATGTTCCCCAGGTAATGTATACAGAATAGGCCTGTTTCCTTGCAAAAGGAGCTGGCTATGTTTAGTCTGCAGAAGGGATGATTAAGAGATAATACGCCAATATAATTGCCAGCTATGCATATCTGAGAGGCTTTTGCAGAAATGGAAGGACTCCAGCCCAAATTCGAAGAAACGAGATTTCCAAGTTTGGGGAAGAACCTGTGATAATTCAGAAAAAAAAATGTACTGGTGGAAGATATGGGAATGCCCATTGCAGACAATTGATTTGCTTAATGACCATGGGGTTTGCTTAACAACCACAGTGATTCCGAATAACAGAGTTGCAAGGGAACTTGGAGGTCTTTTAGTCCAACCTCCTGCTCAGGCAGGAAAATCCTATACTATTTCAGACAAATGGTTGCCCAATCTCTTCTTAAAAACCTCTAGTGAAGGGGCACCCACAATTTCTAGAGGTAATTTGTTCCACTAGTTAATGAATTGGAAATTTCTCCTTAGTTCTAGGTTACTTCTCTCCTTGATGAGTTTCCATCCATTGCTTCTCGCCCTGTCTACAGGTGCTTTGGAGAATAGCTTGACCCCCTCTTCTCTGGGGCAGCCCCTCAGATATTGGAAGACTGCTATCCTGTCACCCCTAGTCCTTCTTTTTGTTAAACTAGACATTCATTTTAACAACCGACACAAAAAGGTTGTAAAATCGGGCATCTCATGTGGTGACCTGCTTAACAACAGCACAATGTATAATCATAATTCCAGGATCAATGATGGACGTAAGTTGAGGACTACCTGCATTTAGCTATGACGCTCACTCGGGAGGGAGGAAGCCTTGCTATGATAACACGGACATATGCCAATTGATGTTTGGTGATAATATGCTCACCAAGGAACAAAGCAATGGGTGTTAGATGGGCTCATGGCGGCCCTGAAGCTTGCTAAGAAGAAGGTAATTCCTGGGAAGCAAGAGGGGTGGATGTTCCAAGGCGCTTTTTCCAAAAGGCAATTGGGCTTTCTTCGTTGTTGTTTTTTTCTTCGAATATGTTTTGTTTCTCATGCAAGAAGCTTCTTCCATTCTAATGCCTGGTGACTGCCTAGATCAGGGGTGTCAAACTCAAGGCCCGGGGGCCAGATCTGACTCATGGGGTGCTTAGATCTGGCCCACGGGGCGCCCTGGAAATAGCAAAGGACCGGTCCGCGGTGCCTCTTCCAGCAAAAAAAAAGCACCGGAGAGTTGTGTGCGCCTACTCCCCCAACCCCCCAAGCTCTGTTTTCACTGGCAGAGGGTTGCCCCCGACCTCCGTTTTCCCTGTCAGCGGGCTAGCAAAACAAACTAAAAACAAAACAAGAAGATAAATGTTTTCCCTTTTGCATTTGAGCATGCAAGAAGGGACAGGAAAGGAGAAAGGAAAAGAGGAAAGACAAAGACAAAGAAGGGAAATGAGAAGAGAGGAAGGAAGGAAAAATAAGGAAAGAGGGGAAGGAAGAAGAAGGGAGAAGGAAGAGGGAAGGAAAAAGAAGAGGAGGGAGGGAGGGAGGGAGATTATGAGAGGGAAGGAGGGTCTGAGGGAAGTCTTGCCTTAGCACTTGGCCATCACAGGTGCCCCCGACACGAGTGATGTCGAGCTGGCCATGCCCCCCCCCAGCCCCCCCCGAGGTCAAACACAACCCTGATGCGGCCCTCAATGAAATCTAGGCCCCTGGCCTAGATCATTCCCTGTTGTTTTCTTGGCAAGGTTTTTCAAAACTGGTTGGCCATTGTCTGCTTCCCAGGGCTGAGGGAAAGCGACTGGCCCTTAGAAGAAAAAAAAGCAGCAGCTTTTGGGAGGAGAAGTGAAAAGAAAAAAGAAAATTCTATTCTAAAAAAAAGAAAGCCCAGTTGCCTTTTGAAAAAGCATCTTTGGGACAACCATGACCCAGATGATGGAGAATCTCCACAGTCAAAAGCGGCAGATGTGAACGCAATTGTTTTAATCCACCTTGACAAGAAGGTAGAAAGCTTTGGTCTAGGTAGGTAAATTACCTGGATGTGCATTTTGATGATGGCTTTTCCGATCAAGGTGGCTCCAAAAAAGGTCCAAAAGGGAACCAGGAAATGTCCACATGTTATCCCGGCCAAGTCGAAGAGAGGGTTGGGAATCTGGGAGGAGAAAGAGAAGTGGGATTAGCATACATTTCCACATACAACGTTCCAGGAACGGCTGTCGTAAATATGGGTAGCCCTCGACTCACGACTGCAAATGACCCCCCCAAATTTCCATTGCTAAGCAAGACAGTTGTTAAGCGAGTTTTACCCCATTTTACAACCTTACTTGCCACCATTTGTTAAATGGATCACTGCAGTTGTTAAGTTAGTCACACGGTTGTTAAGTGAATCGGTCTTTCCCCACTGACTTTGCTTGTCAGAGGTCGCAAAAGGGGATCGCATGACTACAGGACACTGTCATAAATATGAATCAGTTGCCAAGTGTCCAACTTTTGGTCACATGACTGTGGGTATGCCATAAGTGTGAAAAATGGTCATAAGCCACTTTTGTTGTAACTTCAAACGGTCACTAAGTGAAGGATTGTAAGTCGAGGATTACCTTGACAGAATAATACAGTTGGAAGGGACTTTAGAGGTCTTCTAGTCCAATCCCCTACTCAAGCACGAAACCCTATGCCATTTCAGACAAATGCTTGTCCAATATCTTCTTAAAATTATTCTGGGAATGAGACAGGCTCAAGAAACAAGACAGGACCATCAAGGATTAGTGGTTAGGAAGCCCAGTAAATAAAACCTCCATGGTTAGTGGCAATCTTCTGCAGAATATTATATGCTGCTTGTGACTCAGTAAATGAATGTTGTCCTAAATATGCTCATGATTTGAACCTTGCTGGCTGGGGAATTCTGGGAATTGAAGTCCACATATCTTGAATTTGCCCAAACTTGAGAAACATTGGTCTAAACCAGCCAGGGTCTTATTAAAACCACAGCTTTGTTAGCCTGGTTGAAAATCTGGACAGAATTCATCACAGTATTTCAATTGAAAAGAAATGAAGCAAGACCACATAGTGGCGAGTTTTCCATAATCACCACAGGGCTGGAGCCCTCAAACCATCCACAACTCCCTCAGATCACAAGTTTGAGAACTTCTGAACCTCTGAGTATGTTGGTTTAGGTTTTTAACCCTTTTTCTGAATACCTTTCTCATGTTTTTTGACAGTTCTGCTTAAGAAATGTTGGTGTGACAGCCCATGATTTTGTTTTTTGTTTTTTGTTTTAAAAAGAGGGAGACCTCTCAGCTAGACACTGTTCCAGATGAAGTAAGGTCTTGCCCACAACTCTGTTGTTTTTTTCCCTGAAAGTCCAGATTAGAAACAGCTCGACCGACGTCTTCCATAAGAAATGCACAGAAACCACAGCCAGCCATTTTATAGCCATTTATCAAATATCCTCCACCTCTTGCCCTCCCCCATCAACAAGTGTTTTGGTCCAGTGAGTCAGTCTCCAAAAATGGATCTCTGGTGAACAGTGTGTCTGAAACCCCCTCCCCCGGAGTGGGGGGGGGAGAGAATAAACCTGGCATTTATTTGCTATTAATGCTGTCGAGATGAAGAGGAACAGAAAGAAAAGAACAAAATGGCTGCTTTTCTAACAGAAAAACAAGAGTTGGAAGGGTCCTTGGAGGTCTTCTATTCCAACCCCTTGCTCAAACAGGAAACCCTATATCATTTCAGACAAAATGGTGGACCAATCTCTAATGTCTGAAGAGCGAAGGATCCTAGCTGAAAAATTAACAATTGCTATATTTGGAGGTTAGATTTGACATGAATAGTTTACAACATTTATTTATTTTATTGATACCCTGCCTTTATTGTTTTTATAAATAACTCAAGGAGAATGAATATACAAAATATTCCTTCCTCCCCCTATTTTCCCCAGGACAACAACCCTGTGAGGTGGGTTGGGCTGAGAGAGAGGGACTGGCCCAAAGTCACCCAGCTCGCTTTCATGCCCAAGGCAGAACTAGAACTCACCGTCTCCTGGTGAGATTGTCCCAAAGTCATTCAGCCAGCTTTTAAACCAATTATACCTTAAAAGAGATAATTTGACCCACCATTGTCAATTAGAAGCAAGCAGTGACTGTAACCATATGGCTTCACAACCATCTATTTTTGTGTGTGGGCTCCAGCTGCCATTTTCACTTTTTTATGTGGTCCTTTAATAAATGTTAATTTGCCAGTCAGGAAACTGAGAAATACCAATATGGACCTGCCAAAGTCATATTACTTTGCTTTCTATAATCCACATTTTTGGAATTTATTTTTTCCTCTTTGGTGTCTAGGCCTCATTGTTATAGAAAGAGATTGAGGAATCCTGGAAGTCCACCCATAGTTAAAATTGTCAAGTTTGAAAAAAAAAACCTGATCTAAAGCATCCTTTCAATGAAAAATATATGCTCGGTATAAAACAGTGAGATGTCTGGATGGGGAAGAACAGGGGAAGGAAGGAAGGAAGGAAGGAAGGAAGGAAGGAAGGAAGGAAGGAAGGAAGGAAGGAAGGAAGGAAGGAAGGAAGGAAGGAAGGAA